GATGTTGGCTGCCAGCGTCGCCATCTTCCACTTCAGCCGCTGATGCGCACTCTGATCCAAAATCTCCTCTGGGATTTTTTTTGTTTATTGCAAGGAAAAAGGCTGATTTCTTCCGGAAGAAGCCGGTTTTATCCAGGCATTCAAGCCACAGGACAAAAGCCGTATTTTCCGGGATTTCCAACCTTCTCTCTTTTTCTCCCTCTCCATCTCGCATCGTCCGTCGCAGCAGCGTAGGGTAGCCCAGGTTCGGCCTCCCCCATCCAACGATCTTTGAGGCCCACACGCCTTCCCCTGGTGAACAGGCTGAGGGAGCACCTTCGCCGTGATGCTTACCCTGTGATCCGCTTGACATTTACAGAATGACTCAGCCCCTCATCAAGAAGCGCATTGTGAAGAAGCGCACCAAGAAGATCGCCCGCTTCCAGTCCGATCTTTTCCTCCGCGTCAAGGTAAGTGCTGCCATCCTTTTGCCACTCCATTCCCTTCATAGCATCTTTTTTTAATTCACACCAATTCATCAATGCTTACCTTATTCATTCTTTATCACCGTCATCCTGCAGACCTCATGGAGGAAGCCCCGCGGTATTGACAACAGGGTGAGGAGGAAGTTCAAGGGTTCCCTCATCATGCCCAAGATCGGTTACGGATCGAACAAGAAGACCAGGCACATGCTGCCCAACGGCTTCCACCGTTTCCGCGTCTACAACGTGAACGACCTCGAGCTCCTCCTGATGCACAACCGCAAGTACGCCGCCGAGATCGCCCACAACGTCTCCTCCAAGAAGAGGAGGGAGATCATCGAGAGGGCCGCCCAGCTGAACGTCAAGGTGACCAACGCCAGCGCCAGGCTCAGGACCGAGGAGAGCTCGTAAACGAGAAGCCTTCACCCTGTCTGTTCTTAAATACAGTTCTTCCCACAGAAATCTTTATTCTCATATCTTTTATCATTTTTTTATAACATTTATAGCATGCGCTGAGTTTCTCTGGTGGAAGATGCACGCAGCTTGCCACCGGGGGCGCGACTCTCGTGGTCGGCGAGGGAGGCTGCGACACAGAAGATGGATCCACCAACGAATGCGACGATGGCTAGCATCCAAAAGATGGACGCCATTTCCGTGTAGTTGAACATGCTACTCAAACTGCTCATTGTCTGCTGCGTTTGCTGCTCTCGCTGAGTGTTGATTATTTTCTTGTTGTGGCGTGGTGTAGCGGGCATTGGGCGTTTACCGCCAACCACCAAAAGGAACTCAACGAGAAACACACTTCATTTCGCAAACCATGTACACGTGTGCGCGGTGAGAAGTTGATGTGTTTGGAAGACCCTCCAACAGAGCACTTGCGAAGCACTTTCGCGTTCCTCTGTCCGGCGAGCCGTGGGGTGGTCTGCAGAGGCAACCATCTCCTCAGCCGCGATCGATAGAGCTGGGATTGAGAAGGAAAGAGAAGGGGGGAAGAGAGCGTGTCCATGAAGGCCGCGGCGGTGGGGAGCTCGGCCTTGATACCCTTGCGCTTGCGCACACCGAGCACGGCCTCACCGACCGTGCTGTTGGGGTCGAGCGGACCGCCGCTCATGGCCTGCCAGTGGTCGAACACGCACTAGGCTCATGAGCCCTGAACCTCGGGCGAGCGGCGTGGAGCACGCGGCGCGCAGTGGGGATGATCTAGCCGGCGTCACGGTGGATGGCGTCGGCGTGGAGCGGGACGTCGGCGAGGTTGAAGCGCGCACCGCGCATGACCTCGCCGCACAGGGCTCCTTCGCGCGTGGCCCATCGGAAGGCGCTCACGAACGAGTCCTTGATCTCGCTCACCGACGGAATGCCCCAGGTCGCGTCGACCGGTCGTCTCCGGCCCCAGCACCAGATCTTGCGCGACCCCAGCAGGTGTCGGCCGACCCCTTCCCCGAGGGCCTGGCCGACGCCGTCGAGAGCGGCACCAACATTCGCGCTCGGGCTGTCCTACCGCTTCGGCAGGGACCTCATCGATGGAGCACTGGACGCACAGGTGCCGGACTTAATAAGGAACTGATCGAGACCGACCAGGCACGCCGTGTTACCGGCAGGCACGCTGCCATGCTATCGAAGTAGCTGCCCATGGCGATGCACACCTTCTGGATGGTCTTCACATACAGATCCGAACGTACAACGTCACACGCAAGAAAGAGTGACCTCAGAACCGAGAGGGGGCGGGGCTGTGGCGGGGGAGAGGTGCGACACACCTTCTGGCCGGGTATGTTATGTACTCCGGGCCAGAATGCGGACCGTCTGGCCAGTCCTGAAGCACGTTGTCGGTTGGGACGCACACGCCAGCAGGGCCCTCCCCCCCGAGGGCTTCCTGCAACGTTGCGGATGTTGTCCTGCGCCTTGTACAGTTGCGCCTTCACGAGCTCGTTTGTGGTGACTGTTTGTCAGGTGCTGTTGGCTTACCTTTTCGCCCCCCCCCCCACAAAGCCCAACTTTTCGCCTGACCAAGAGAGCATGGACTGGCAGGACAAGGCCAGCTTGGAACAAGGGGAGGAATGTAAACAATTTTCACATTGTGCCTTTGTGGCAAGACAAACCGCGGTCACAACGGCGAAGCACACCACACCTAATAAGATGGACAGGGCGGTGTTGGTGTTGGTGTTGTGGTGCTGTGTGTTGGTCTCCTCGGCGGCTGGCGAAGAGGGCTGTGGCGGTCCGCTGGCGGCGAATTTTCCTGAAGGGCGGAGCGACATCTACATCGCAAGCGGCCTGGCGCAGAGCTTTCATGTGAAGAAGACCAGCCGCGTCACGTCCTTCACTTCCCACTTCTGGACAATCCGTACCCCGACCTCACGCCTTCGTCTTCGTTCTTTGTTGCCCCGACGTTTTTATGCGCTTTCTTCTTTTCTTCTCTAAGTACGTCGCCCTACGCAGATAACGGTTCGGTACTCGAGTCCCTGGCGATCCACAGCGACCAAGCCTCCAACCCAGGCCCCGGGCCGGCGCTGACCAACGCTACTTTCCATGTGGCGTCGGTTCCGTTCGTGGTCTCTGGCGAGAGGGAGCGGCGGACGTTCAACTCAACACGGCCCGAGGGCATTCTGCTCACACCGGGCCACTACTGGCTGGTGGCAATGCTGCCCGGGAGTATGGGCTGGCTGTGCAATACCCCCGCCGTGCAAGACCCAGAGCTGCCCCTGACCGTCCTACGCGGGTTGGCAGTCGCGGCCCGCCCTGGCAGCTGGGTCGTACACAACCAGCCCGATGAGCGCGTATTCACCCTCGGGCTCAACGGCTGCCGCGCGGAAGAGCCCACACCCTTCCCACCTCACAAGGGCGGCGGTGATGACGGTGACGCGGGCACGACGGTGGGGATCGTCCTGGGCGTGCTGGCTGCTATCGGCCTGATCGGTGCAGCGGCCGTCGGCCTGGCCGTGTGGGTCAGGAAGCAGTCGAATCACAGT